GTTTTACCATGTTGGCCAAGCTGGTCCCAAACTCCTGATCTCAGGTGATCCACCCTCCTCGGCCTCCCAGAGTGCTGGGATTACAGGCATGAGCCACCACGCCCGACCCAAAATCTAAAACTTTTAAAATGCTAACATGACACCACAAGGGGAAAATTCCACACCTGACCTCGTGTGACAGGTTGTAGTCAAAACACAGGTGCACAGCACGCAGTTTACTCAGCAGCCCCGAAAAGCCCCCTTCAGCTGCGATGCACTATCTTTTCTGGGCATGCCCAGATCCTGTGGCTCAAGCATGCCCACAAAGGGTAGCAAAATGGCACATGTGCAGGCCGGATACTCCAACAGCAGGTTCCCCACGAGGGCTCATGTGGGGCTAAGACCTACGTGCATTACGCACCTAGTTTTTGCTCATTCTCTGTGTTGTAAAGATGTGGCTGAAAACGATAGCCATAGGGTAATGCAAATATTCCAAAATCAAAAAAAAAAAAAAAAAATTCTGAAATGCTTCTGGCTTAAAGCATTTCAGATAAGGGAGACCCAGCCTGTATCACACATCTCCAGGACGGTCAGGAATAAGACGTTTCTCTAAGTGAAGCATGAACGTTTCCCACAGCCTTCCTTCCTGCAAGTTCTCCTCTGGACTGTTAGCCGAGGTCACTGAGGCTGTGCTCCCCTACCCTGCCCCCCAGCTGTGTTACTCAGTACAGGTCCCCATCCCAGCCCCGAGCACATCACATGGTAATTCTTCATACGCCTCTCTCCCCCACAGCCTGTGAACTCAGTCTGAGTCACTGCTAGCACGGTGTAGGGGCTCAGCTGCTGTTTGCTGGATGACTGAATAATTCACATGGGCCAGACTTGCTCTTGGAAGTTAAGGGGTACCTTTCCTGCTCCTCTGCAGATCCACGCCATGCCTCACCTGGGGGACCCAAACTGCACAGGTCCCCTGGAGAAGGCCTCACGGTGCTGTGAGCAGAGACACGATGGCTGCTGGGTGACACGTGCCTATGAACACAGCTGGTGTCAGGCATGCTATTTCCAACTGCTGACTCATCCCCTGGCTCCCACTTTCTCCAGTCACTGGGCCAAACAGGGGATCGGTGTCTTCACTCCATTTCAGAGCAGCTTACCAGAAGGCCTCCTGCTACCCTTCCCGGCAGGGTTTTTTAAACCTTTCAAACTAAAGGTTCAGAATAGGCATTTGCCAGGTCCATTCACAGATCTGAGATGGCCAAGTCACTGAATGTCAAGGTTGGATAGACTCAGGTCACCTTCTCCTGCCGCCTCTGCAGTGCCCTGCACTCCCCGCCTCTCCACTGTTTCATCGGGTGGCTGTGCTTTCCTCTGCAGTGCTGAGTCTACACGGAGCCATCCCTGCTGTTATCACCTCATCCCCCTGGACCAAAAGCCCAGATGTGCCAGATAGCTGGCCAGGTCAGAGATGCAGACTGGATGGAAGCAGTTTAATATAGAGATTTAATATAGAGATTAAGAGCTCAGGTTCAGAACCAGGCAGACTTGAGTTCAAATCCTAGCTCCCACACTCAGCACCCATGCAACCTTGAGAAAGTTACTCAACCACTCTGAGCCTCGGTTTCCTCATCTCTAAAACAGGGATAATGAGAATACCACTTCTAGAATGGCTGGGAGGACTAAACAAGTTAATAACCATAAAGTTATTATTGCAGTGCTTGGTATACCTTTCAATGTTAATTATTCAATAATAATTACTAAAATACATTCAAATCAATGTGTCTCAGCAACTATTATTGTTGTCACTGAAGCATGCCTCATCCACACAGCACTTTCCTCAGACAGCCCCAAGGTGAGTTGGCTCCATAAAAGTCACTCCTACAGATAGCAGAAGAAGTCTCTTTCATTTTCAAGAGCAAATCCAGGTCTAGGAATTTTTCTTTTTTCTTTTTTTTTTTTTTCTTTCGAGAGAGAGTCTTGCTCTGTCGCCCAGGCTGGAGTGCAGTGGCACAATCTCGGCTCACTGTAACCTCCGCCTCCCAGGTTCAAGCGATTCTCATGCCTCAGCCTGCTGAGTAGCTGGGACCACAGGCATGCAGCACCATGCCCAGCTAATATTTTGTATTTTTAGTAGAGACGGGGTTTCGCCATGTCAGCCAGCCTGGTCTCGAACTCCTGACCTCAAGGGATCCGCCCACCTCGCCCACCAAAGTGCTGGGATTATAGGCGTGAGCCACCGCTCCTGGCCTGGAAATTTTCTTTAGCTTCGTTTGGTGTGGTCAGCAGGTCAGCCAGCCAGGCTCCTCATTAGCACAGATTTCTGAACTCCAAGTTAAAAGAAATATATTGAGTCTCAAGCCAACGTTTCTGCATCCCTTATTCAGGATGGTGATCTTGATGCAGTGAGGGTTTCTCTTTTGTTTGGTCTGCAGGTCTCTGTGTCCCTGTGTCCTGAAGTTTGATGATAACTCAACAGAACTTGCCACCCTCATCGAATTCAACAAGAAGTTTCAGGTAAGCCGGGAAGGGTTCTAAGACTTCCCAGAACTGCTGTGTGATTTGATTCCTCTGTCTAGAGAACAAGTCAATGCTTCAGTAATTTTGACCCTGTGTGGGCGATGACCACTGACTAGTTTGCTGATTTTAAAATACCCTGAGACACAGCAGGGGCTGCTATTTGGTTTGTTTGAATTGCACCACAGAACCAAGTCCCTGAACACGAGCCACTGAATCTCAGTTCCTGGTCGTTACATGAAACGAACATTTCCACTTGTCCATGGCAAACATGGATCATGGAAAGAAGTTTCAGAGTGGATCTATCCAGATCCGAACCTCAACTCTGCTCACTGGTTGTGGAATGTTAGACACTTGGGCAATGAAACTTCTCTGAACTTCCAGCTCCTGGGTGGGAAACGGAGGCTGAAAGACCTCCCTGCCTTGAGGGTCTCCAGGGTTCAGTGAGATAAGGTGCATTCCCTCTGCCCTCCGCTCCGATAGAATGGATGTTCTTGGGGAGCACAAGGAGAAAGAAAGTCAGGAGATCATCTCCATCTTGTGAGTTGTTCGTTTTAGTCCTTTCTCTAGCACATCTTTGACCAGAACAGCTGACTCCCTTAACGATCGAGTTTCTCCCCAACAAAAAATTTATCCAGTCACTCAAAGAGGACAATAGTAGGCCTTTCTTCTAGACTAGGCTGCAAACAGCTGCCAGAGTGGATCCATCCTTCCAGGAGTCCATGGACTCCTTGGGGACAGCACCGTTTCCCTGCAGACCATTTTGGGGGCAGCTATACCTGCCAGGTGTATCAGGGCTCAGGGAAATGAACCTGTATTTATTATCCTTTGTGCCTACTACCTAGCACTCGGGATGACTCCCCAGCTGGACTTCCTTTATTTTATTTTGTTTTATTATTTATTTATTTATTTATTTATTTATTTATTTATTTATTTATTTATAATGAGACAAGGTCTCACTTGGTCACCCAGCCTGGAGTGCAGTGGCACAATCTTGGCTCACTGCAGCCTTGACCTCCAAGCCTCAAGTGATCCTCCCACCTCAGTCCTCCAAGTAGCTGGGACTACAGGTGTGTGCCACCACACCCAGCTACTTTTTGTATTTTTAGTAGAGATTGGGTTTCACTATGTTGCCCAGGCTGGTCTTGGACTCCTGCACACAAGCAATCCACCTGCCTCAGCCTCCCAAAGTGCTGGGATTGCAGGCATGAGCCACCGTGCCAAGCCATACTTTCTTCTACTGTGAGCAGGCACCTGGGACTCTGGGGAGGAAGTCCCTGGCCCACATCAGAAGAGGGAAAACAGCTGAGGTTATGGCCATGAGAGCAACCCTGTTTCAATTGGGGTTATTGGGTGCATGCAACTAAAGTTCATGCAGTTTCTGGCTAATTTAAGCAGATTCAATATTTACACAGAATCTCTGACAGAGCTAGAGAGCTAGGGTCAGGAGCTAAGCCATCAGGAATTATGGAATCCTGGAATTCTAGGGGCCAAGCCATAAGGATCAAAATCAGGGCTGGATGCGGTGATTCATGCCTCTAATCCCAGCACTTTGGGAGACGGAGGCGGGTGGATCACTTGAGGTTAGGAGTTCAAGACCAGCCTGGCCAACATAGTGAAACCCTGCAAAAAACACCAAAATTAGCTGGACGTGGTGGCACATGCCTGTAGTCTCAGCTACTTGGGAGGCTGAGGTGGGAGGATCACTTGAGCCCAGGAGGCGGAGGTTGCAGTGAGCCGAGATTGCACCATTGCACTCCAACCTGGGTGACACAGTGAGACTGTTTCAAAAAAAAAAAAAAAAGAATCAAAATCAGGGCCGGGCGCGGTGGCTCACGCCTATAATCCCAGCACTTTGGGAGGCCGAGGCGGGCGGATCAGGAGGTCAGGAGATAGAGACCATCCTGGCTAACACAGTGAAACCCCATCTCTACTAAAATTACAAAAAATTAGCCGAGCGTGGTGGCAGGTGCCTGTAGTCCCAGCTACTTGGGAGGCTGAGGCAGGAGGAGAATGGTGTGAACCCGGACAGAGCAAGACTTCTGCTCAAAAAAAAAAAAAAAAAAAAAAAAGAATCAGGCCACAGACCTGGTCCAGGGAAGACATCACAGACTCCACTGTCACTGCTGCTTCTAGGAACTGGATGCAGCTGCTACCGTCAGCAGAATGGATGTTTTGCCATCCCTGACACAGGCAATGATTGGTGAAGTCTCAGTCACGTACCCACGCCCTGGCTGCACGAGGGGTTGGGAAAGCAGGCATTCTCATCTTTTTTAGCTTCCACAGTGGGAGGCAGGCTGCTCTTTATGCAGTGGGGTCTTCAAACTTGGAAGTGGGTTCAGATGCTGAGCAGCCGAAAAGCAGGAGAAAGATTCGCCAACATCGCGCTGCCGGCCTCTGCAGACAGGCCAGCTGTTCCCAGGCTGATCCTGGTCGCCACTGAGGCCCTGGTCTAGTGTTTTGGAGATGCCCACGTGTCAGCCGTGTGTGGCCATCACGCCCTCTCTCAGAATCATCTCACACCCTACTTCCCACAATAGCTGCGGCTCTCATCACTCTCCCTGGAGATGATCATTCCTATTAATAACCACAGTCACTCACTTGCCACTTGCCATGTGCCAGGGACTCTCCACACTATTTCTTTCCACTGCCAAAAGGCGTGTGGTTCCACCATGAGCCCATCTGGCTATCCCCAGGGTAACCAGTAGCATCGGAAAGGACTTCAGAGATGGCCCAGGACTCAGCCAGCATCCTCCATTTACAAGGGGAAGCAGAGAAAAGGGAAGCAGCGGGCTGGAAGTCACCCCGCTAGTTCGCAGCACCTCACTTCCTTCCCCTGTTCTGAGAGATGACCTTCTCTCCTTCCCTCGTGCCTTACTCAAGGCAGACACTGGCTTGGGAGGTCAGACATGAGACATTCCTGGCCTAGGAATTGACCCTGGGAAAAGACAGTGTGTGGTATCTTCTGAAGTGACACCATTCACATTCCCAGGTATGTAACCCTGACTTCCCTCTCCAGCCAGAGTAATCCCGAGGTGGCAGAAACCCTGGTTAGCAGTGGAACGGCTGAGTCAGGCTAGAGTGGGAGCCGGAACTGGGGTAACAGGTTTTCCTAGAAGTGACCCCAAGCAGAAGCTGTGAGGACTACACAGATCTGAGAGCCTCAAAGAAGTGCACACACACCATGCACGGGCAATATAAATATACATTAAATTTTGATTCACCTTTGATTTTTCTGAATAAATGTAGGACAGAAATAAATTCTTAGGATTATTCAGAATGTCATTTAACCAAAAACCACCCCTCAAGTCCTTAATCAGAATAGCTTTAAAAGGAGTCAAGCTGGCCAGGCACGGTGGCTTGCACCTGTAATCCCAGCACTTTGGGAGGCCAAGGCGGGCGGATCACGAGGTCAGGAGTTTGAGTCCAGCCTGGCCAACATAGTGAAACCCCGTCCCTATTAAAAATACAAAAAGTTAGCCGGGCGTGGTGGCTGGCACTGTAATCCCAGCTACTCCGGAGGCTGAGGGGAATCACTTGAAGCCGGGAGGTGGAGGTTGCAGTGAGCTGAGATGGCGCCATTTCACTCCAGCCTGGGCGACAGAGTGAGACTCTGTCTCAAATAAATAAATAAATAAATAAATAAATAAATAAATAAATAAATAAAGTCCAGCTGATAGACTTTTCTTACCTTTCCCTTTTCACAGACTGGCTCAAATATATGCAGTCGCAGCAGAGTTTGGGGTCAGGGGCTGAGATAAAGGCTGATCTAAAATGTAAATGATCTAAAATGTAAAATCTCAGTTGAGATTTTGCGGCAGGTTGATTTCACTCAACAGTCAGATTCTGTTTAATTCTGTGTTGGAGAAAGAGATCGATCAAGGACCGAGCAGATGCAGAGAGGACCGCCTGACCTCTGTCCCCTTTTCCTCCTGCAGGAGAAGACCCACCAACTGATTGAGAGTGGGCGATATGACACAAGGGAAGATTTTACGGTGGTCGTGCAGCCGTTCTTTGAAAACGTGGACTTGCCAAAGACCTCGGTAAAGAAAGCAAGCATCGTGGATAAAGAGAATCCACAGATAGTGTGTGGCTGTTTCTGAGTGTCATTTACATGATCCAGCGTGTCTATAACTGCCTCTCTTTTTCTGCCCGGTGACCAGGAAGGATTGCCTGACAACTCTTTCTTTGCGCCTGACTGTTTCCACTTCAGCAGCAAGTCTCACTCCCGTGCAGCCAGCGCCCTCTGGAACAATATGGTAAGGTGGCTGCAGTAGGAAAATGCATCCCCCCTCTGGTAAGAAAAAGACTCCACAAAGCCTTTGGAGGACCTTGGAGGCCCATCGTGCAGGCCGTGTGATTCTGTGCACAGCAATGATAAACAAACCCCATCTCCTTCGTCCCTCCCTGCCTCCCGCGCCCGTGACCTGCGTCCTGAGCTTTCCATTCTGACCGCCTCTTCCTCACTCCCCATCTCCCTGCCTCTTTGTTTAGCTGGAGCCTGTTGGCCAGAAGACGACACGTCATAAGTTTGAAAACGAGATCAATATCACATGTCCGAACCAGGTAGAATGGAAAGCACATCCTTCCAGGCTCCGGCTCCATTGGGCTTCTTAGTTCATTTCATCCTAGGCCCTCACCCTCACCCCAGCTCTGCCTGCCCACCCACCCCAAACGCCCCATCTGGTTGTGCTGAGAGGGATGACTACCCCCAGTGACCCAGAGGCCTGGGAGCGCTTGGTCTCTGCATGGCTGGGAGCCCTCACACATGTCTAGGCTGGAGACAACTCTTTGAGGCAGGCAAGATGGGCATGGCAGCCACATCTACCTGTCATTCTGAAAGCTGAGGGCAGCGGAGAACTTCAAGGGCAGATGGGGCGGAAGGATCCCTTGTCTTCATATAGCCCCTGCCTCCATGACAATATGGGTAGAGCGAGGAACCAAGATCTAGATCTCTAATTGGGTGGGGGTAGGGGAGTAAATTGGAAGCTGGAGCTAGGGAAGGAAAAGCAGGACAAGCCCCCCATTTTTACTCACAAGTTCTCAGAAAGATTCTTGGAGCTCTGCAGCAGCTGCCCTCACCCCCAAGAATCCCTCTGTATACCCAGAGGGCTCCTAGGCTGACACTGGGAACCAGTGCACAGGGCTTATGTGAGGCAGGACCAAAATCATCTGACTTTTCTTACCTGGGCAGGAAGGGGCCATAGTCACTGCAGGGTGGGGTAGGCATGGAGTGGCAAGGGAGCCCGGGGAGTGGAGACAAGGGCTTTTTCCAGCAGAAAGAGGTGCATGGTTGCAAGAGGGGAGGGTGGAGAAAGGGAGGCAGCACAGCCATCCTCAGCCAACCGCGCGGGAGGTGGAAGGAAGACAGGCGCGTTCCGGTGAAGCATGAATTGATGCTCATTCTTTGTGCTGGGTTCAGGTTGCAGAGATGGCCCCCTGCATCTTGGGAGGGAGTCAGCCTGGTAGAGGCCGGGCTTGGGACACAGGGCAGGGAGGCTGCAGCTGTTTGTGCCAGGCCGACACTTATTGAGTGCTGGCAAGCAGAGAAGCGAGCAGAATTTGCTGCCGTTGCTCATCCCCGTCTCCTCACAGGTCCAGCCGTTTCTGAGGACCTACAAGAACAGCGTGCAGGTACCTGCCTCTTGCCTCCCCTTAACTCACCAGGCAATGGGATGGGCAACCCCTGGGCTGGGTCAGGCCCAACAGGACAGGGTGGGAAAGTGGGCAAGAATTCTAGATGGGCATAAAGGCCACACCTGACCTTCAGATGGGGTAGTGGGCAGCGTAAATGCTGTGGATAACAGCTGGAAGGCCTCCAGCCAACCCAGTCCCAGCCTCAGTGAGACGTAAGTGAAGAGAAATCCCCTCCTTGTAGAGCTGGTGCAGGAGCAGTAGCTGCTGTGGGGTGGGGTCATTTGTGGCTGCCTTGATTCTTGCATTGGACGGTGGAAGGGTCTGAACTAGATGAGTGGACCTCGACCTGTGGCCGATACTCAAAATCACCTAGGGTGCCTTCTTCAAAAGCCCTTTTGAGGCCCCTCCCCGGGAGTAGGACCCAGGAATCTGTATTTTTCAAAGCTCTTGGGATACATCTGATAGCCAGTTTTTCTGGTCCCTTTCAACCCTGAGATTCTGGGATTTGTTCTGTGCCCTTAGGGTCATGGGACCTGGCTGCCATGCAGGGACAGAGCCCCTTCTGCCTCACCCCCTACCTCAGGTAAGCCCCCTATGGCACAGCAGGACCCAGGGCCCTCCACAGGGGCTTCTATTGCCAGTGAGTCATCTGAACTGCCTTTCACACTCACTAAACGGCAGAGCAATGGCCAGTGCTTGCTGTCTGCCTGGGCGGTCACCTGGGACGAGTCCCTGTTTTGCACCACTCTGGCTGGTGGTGACAGTATGCCCAGCAGGCACCAAGGCACCTAGGACCAGGAGCTGTCTCCTGCCCACCTGCACCTCTTAGAGGGATCACAAGCGGAGGAGCCCTGTGAGCACACCCTTGGTGCCTCAGCACAGAGGTGGGCCTGAGTCCCAAGAGGAAGGTGGCTCTGTGGCCCCAGGCTCTGCAATCACTGCTGCCTGCAGTAGGGCCTGGAAGATTCCCTGGGCTCTTCAGAAGAGATGTGGGGGCAGAAAAAGGCCCAACATGACTATTCTCAGACTCTCGGTGGAAATTCAGAACCCACCTCCAAACGGGCTGCACGTCAGGTCCTGCACCTCGTCATGTGTGGTTTGATGCCCGTCTAGTTGTGCACTCAGGCCATGACTGGCATCTCCCATGACCACTGGTACTAAAATGGGCTCCTACTCTGCCCTGACCTCCCTCCCACCTTTCTCTTCTTTCTTCCCTCCTTCCTTTTCCCTTTGCCTCTCCTCCCTTTCCCCAGTTTTCTTCTTCTCCCTCCTTCTCCCTCTCTGCACCTCTCTTTCCCTCTCTGCACCTTGCACACAAGGTCCAGGATCAGTTGTGTCTTATGGGAAACCTGTCCTCACATAGCTTTGCCTCTGTGGCACTCTGCACGCCCAGTCCAGCATGGCCCTGTGCTCGTGCAGATTGTGTTTCAGATCTTGCTTGAAGCCAGAGGCTCTAGAGTCTGACTGCAGCTTCCCTCCTACAGCCCTAAGTGTGTCCGCTTGTCTTTCCAGTGCATGCTCTGAGACCTGCAGACATCCAAGTTGTGGCTGCTCTGGGGGATTCTCTGACCGTAAGGACTCTTGGGCCCTGGGTGGTTTGGGAATAACTAGGTCAGCTCCAGATCCCAGTCCCCTTAACTTAAGGGCCTGCATGCCTGTCCTCTGCCTTGTCTTGCCCCTCTACCTGGCTCTGTCAATCCAAGAGCGTGCCAATGATTTGATTTGTGGCCGCTTTCTCAAACAGATATGCAGAGGACATCTTTTTCCAGAGTGAACTGAATTGTCTCAGAAGGCAGAGATTTTGAACACCCAATAACACTTTTTTTAAATATATGTAAAAATATGTCATTTTGACTCAAAATTCTCCTAAACCTCCCTGTGCGGGTGCTCTTTTTCCTTTGGATTACGCTTTATAATCAGCTGAGACCCTCACATCTGTTTCTTCTTTGCATTTGCACGGAAAGCAGCAAGGACTCCTTAGTTGTGGATAAAGCTCTGCTCCTAACTTCCAAGAAATGGGGCTATTTTACTATCCCAGATCATCACTTTCCAGCAGCATGTCCAAAGCCTTGAGGATACCTTACAGAATGCCCCAGAGGGAAAGAGGAGAAACGTGAGACTTAGGAGAAATCTGTCCACTGCAGTCGCTTAAGCCAATGAGCTCTCTCTTCATGCTCATAAAGAACTTAGGGGCGGCCGGGCGCGGTGGCTCACGCCTGTAATCCCAGCACTTTGGGAGGCCGAGGTGGGTGGATCAAGAGGTCAGGAGATCGAGACCATCCTGGCTAACACAATGAAACCCCCATCTCTACTAAAAATACAAAAAATTAGCCGGGCATGGTGGCAGGCGCCTGTAGTCCCAGCTACTCAGGAGGCTGAGGCAGGAGAATGGCGTGAACCCGGGAGGCCGAGCTTGCAGTGAGCCGAGATCGCGCCACTGCACTCCAGCCTGGGTGACAGAGCGAGACTCCATCTCAAAAAAAAAAAAAAAAAAAAAAAAAAAAAAAAAAAAAAATTTACGGGCATAACGCTGGGAATGATATTATTAATACTCTCACGTTTGTAAAGCACTTGAGAGTTTTCAAAGCAGTTTTTACAACTGTAATCCAATTTGATCCCCAAAACACTCCCTGTGAGATGAGCAGGGTATGTCCTCAGCTCAGCAAGGAGGCAGCTGAGAGCCGGAGAAGGCACACAGCTGGAGAGGAGGATGGCAGACTTAGAGCCGGGGGCTCCTGGTCCCGTGTCTGCTCCTGCCACCACGAGTGCATTGGGAACCCCCCTTTGGAAGCCCTGCACCTTCATGGCCTCCCTGTTCTCTGACTTGCTAATTTTCCTGTGGACTCTGGTATATTTTCAAAGGCTGGCAATGGAATTGGCTCCAAACCAGACGACCTCCCCGATGTCACCACACAGTATCGGGGACTGTCATACAGGTAATGTTAACCTTTGGCCTCTCCTGGGGCTCCCCCTACAACAGAGATTGGGTGTGGCTTTGTCTCCTGTAAATATGTAAATCCCGGAGGTCTAAGACTTGGTCTGGAAGGGGCTTTCAGAAAGAAAAAGCGATATATTTCTGCAAAATGTGAACATTTGGTGAGTGGAGAGGGTATTTTACTGTTGATAATCTTTTTTTTTTTTTTTTTTTGATTGTGCAGAGAAAGTAAACCAGGGTTCTTATCAGACTCCTGGGTCAGCAAATCCAACAGGAAATGCACCAGAAAAGCACCAAATCCCTGAATCTTCACCTCCCTGCTTGCATGTATACATGTACACGTGGTGTTCCTGCGTCTTTGTTTACTGTCTTTGTGTGTTTATTCATGTTGTCTTGTAGTTACACGACTGCCTTTACATATATATACACATCTACACAGAAAACCTCTGAAACCCACTGCACACTTCGAGAGGGCATGAGCAAGACACAATCACTATCAGCCATGTCTTGAAAGATTAGCAATTCGACAAGAGGAAAGGGTGAGAAAGGGCATCCCGAACACAGAAGTGGAGAAGCTCAGGGTGTGTCAGGCGAGCGGTTGCGTGTAGATATTCTCAAGTTTCTTTCTTTCCTAATAAAGTTCTCGTTCCTATAGGCTTCAAAGTAAGTGGCTAGTAGCTCAGAATTTACCTGGGAAAACAACTAGAATGAAGCTGGCCACAAGGGGGCAGCGTGCTCTTGAGCGGCGGAGCCAGGAGAACACCTTTGCTGCCGCCTCCCTTTTCTTCTGAGTCAGTTTGCTTCCTGGGGAAGTGACAGGGAGCAGGGAGGGGGTGATCAGGACTGTGACGGTTCTCTGACCAGACCTGACCAGAGTCCCAGAGAGTGGGTTTCCAGGGCGGGAGGGAGGGGCCATCACTCAGCCTGTACCACCTGCATGAGGACCTAGGGTGTCCTTAGCTTGAGGATATCAGCCCCTCAAGAACAGAGGTCAGTGCCTTCCTGCGCCAAGGTCCCTGTGTTTCCACAAGTCCTTGGTCAGGTACCTGGTCCTAACAGGCTGCCATGGAACAAATCAGAGCCTCACTGACTCACCACTCTGCTCCTAATGAGGCTACGAGAAAAAAAAAAACAGAGGAGAGAAAGCAGAGCTTATTACAATCAAGAAAGAGCATGAGGTTGTGGCAGGCTGCCCTTGGTCTCAGCTAAAGAAGGCAATGACCTCATACATGGGGAAAAAAAGGCATGGGAAAAAAAGGCATGGGAAAAAAAAAAATCAAAGTAGACAAACTACATTGCAGGTGATAGATACGTGACGTGCACCTGGTGGGGCAACTTGGGTAAGTTGAGGTGATGTGCCCAACTTTACAAACAGACCGACCAGCCGGGCTCGTGGGATTCAGATATGAACCAGCAATCCTCTACTAAAAGTTTCTGTCTACGGCAATGGGAAAATTCAGCCATTGCTCTGTTTCTTCCTGCAAGTGAAGTCCATTACAGCCTAATGTCTCAGTCTTCTAGTTCTAGCTCTAAGGCCTCAGGTTCAATGGCTGCTGTCCCATTAAACCTTCATTTGTCCTAAATGTTTCAAATAGCTTCCCCCAAATGCACGTGTGTTAAAGATGGAAGCTCTAGGTCAGGGTCTAAGACCCAACTTGACACTTGATAGAATATGTAGACTACTGTGTCTCAAAGTGTGTTCCATGGAACATTAACTCCAGACCTATTCCTGGAGAAGAGAAAATCCCTTGTATTTGAGGGGGAAACATTACTATAGCCTTCCTCTGGGGAATTCATGTGCGTATTAACATATTAAAGGCTGTAATAAGGCCTGCAATGCAGAAATCTATTTAAGTTTTATCTGTTTAATCCAATGTTTCCCTTAATTCTGGAACATTTTCTTTGTTCATAACACCTGTTAACATCTCCTGAAAGTGTTCATGTAGTAGACTCATCTGAGAAAAGCAATTTTTGAGCCATTAAAGCTTCTAGATTGGAAAAACTAGGCAATTAATGATACTACATCAGTTAAGAATGCAATTTGAGCCTCTTCCCCCTAGGAAACAAAGTGAAAAGAGTGGATCTCATGGAGTTAGGGGAGAAGTAGACCCAGAATTCATGGGGGGTGGGTGGCTATGAACAGGACCTGCAGAAGAGGCTTGGCTATGAATATTTCCAAGGCCCCTTGACCTGTGAGATTCTATAGTGAATGGTTCCAGCTTTGGCCAGTTTAACAATGTGGCGGGCCCAGAGGTCTTGAGAGCATTGCCTTTTCTTCCACTGAAATAAGTTTGCTTGTTTGGGATCATTCAAAGGACCAAAATAAAATTTACCAAAAAAAATGCCTTTGTTTTATTAACTAGAGGTTCAGTCTCACATGACTGAAACTCCTTCAACAAATGTTATTGAGCATCTACTCTATTTTTCTGTACACGTTAGGTGACAACAGATGACCAGAGCCCAGCCATTGAGCTCATAGTGTAACATAAATGATACTCATCTGAAGGGTCTAAGGTGGACTAGCTGTTTGATATGGGTCTATTTCCTTTCACGTTTCACACAGTTCTGATCAAAATAAGAGTTTGAATATTTTTGCGCTTTTGTGTTTATTTATCATAATCCTTTTCTTCTCCTGGAAGTTTTCACTTTAAAATGAAGTCAGGGAGAGATTTTCATAGACTGTTAGTCTTGATCAGCCACCATACTTGTTTTAAAACGAGGATACCTTTAAACAAGAAATTATAGTAGGAAGTACTTGATACGTTTGTGTTTGCATGTCTATGTTTATATCTTTATTGGAGGAGAAAAGGAGGCAGAATTAGAACACAGTGATTGGCGGAGGTATATAGACTTACAATTTCTTTTTAAATGTAAAATATTCTGATTGGGTGCCTTTAGTCCAGAGAAAGAAGGATCAGAAAGCAACAGCTTCATGCAGAGCTGGAAAAGAATCAGATGCTCAAACAAATGCCCATCCACTGAGCAAGTTAGGCTCAGACATCTAGTGGAAAGGTGGGGAGCAAGAACTGAGTGAAGGAGAAGGGCAAAGTTTATGGCATCTGCCTTCTCTCTACCACCTGAATTGCTTGCAGAGCCTCTGACTTCAGTCCTTGACCACTCTGGCATGCAACAGTCCACTTCATTCCAAGCATTCCATGAATGAAGAACAACTATGACTCATGGCCTGTCCCTTAGAAGTCTCTGCTGGTAGGCTGGAAGCTAAAGCCATGTTCTTAAAATCCATTGGCCTGGAATAACATGCTGGGATTCGAAAAAGAGACAAGAAAAAGAACAGTAACTACCATATATATGAACATCAGATTTTGTTAAAATAGAAGTACTACGTCTGTGTGTCATACTCAATTTATTCATAAATGCATAAAAGGAAATAGGGTGTACCTTGAAGTTAGATTAAATGAAAATTAGATGGGGCATTGAAAGGTAGTGAGCGGCCACTCTTCTGAACCTTCCATTGGAATTTACCTGACTACTGGGCAGAGAAGAGCTTTATCTATTTTGCAAAGGCTTCCAGCTCAAGTTGGGTTTCAGTGACCTTTAGCAAGTTAACCCGTGTGCACCTTATTTTCTTACTCTGTAAAATGGACATAGTCACATCTACATCATTGGCTTGTTGGGAGATGTGAAGTAACAGAATCTAGTGCATGTCTCGGCACGTAGTATATACCCAGCTAAGCATTCTCCCCCCGGATTTGGTAAGGAAACAGCTCTCTCATCTTCAAATCCTGGGTTCGGTAGGGAACCAATATATTAGGGAATTCAAAATTTTCTTAGAATTCCTCAAACACAAAGAGATGGGTCTGGCCCGTCTCAAAGGTGCTGATGGGCACTAAGAAGGGTGGGGGCTGCGCTTTTGTCAAGTTTCTAGATTGATTCAACCAATCTGTCTCTCCCTCTCATTCACTGGCTTGCTCACGCCCTACAGTTCGGGAGGGGACGGCTTCCTGGAGAATGTGACTACCTTACCTAGTAAGTAGCCATTCGGGGCTTGAATCTGTCTACTGTTCCATCTATCTGGCCCCTTGGTTTCCCGAGAGTGCCTCCCAGCTAAGGGCCTCATGGCCCACTATTTAAGTAGGAGACAGGAGGCTATGAAAAAGCCGAGGTGGGTAGAATAAACACTGGATTTAGAGCCTAGAGATCTGGGTTCAATCCCTGGCTCTCCAATGTGCTTGTCAGGTGACCTAGGACAAGTTACCCACTATTCTTAGCCTCGGGTTTTTCCAAGAGGCCCAGGAGGTGCTGAGACAAATTAGGTAGTGACCCTTCAATGCACTGTGAATTGTATTAAAAATGTATTTTTAATGTAATTTAATTGTATTAATACAATTTAATACAAGAGTGAGAGGCTCTTGCCACCCTGGCCCACATAGTCATCAGGTCATTTCAACTTAGGGTGGCTCCAGCTTATGTCCAGGGCACACACTGCCTCCCTGCCTCTCCCCAGGAAGCATGAGGATGATAACACGGCCCACTTTGGGGTCCTAGGTCCCACGGTACCAGAGAAGCTATCCTGCTTTCTGTTCTGAGCCGTCTGCATTCTGTTCGCCCTCTCCTCTTCCAGATATCCTTCGGGAGTTTAACAGAAACCTCACAGGCTACGCCGTGGGCACGGGTGACGCCAGTGACATGAATGCATTCCTCAATCAAGCTGTTCCTGGAGCAAAGGCTGAGTACGGCATTTGGGGAGGGAGGGAGCCTGCAGGGTAAGGAGTGGAATGCGAATAGTACCCTTTAGGATCATAGTGCTGGCCTCTACGTGCAAAGGGGCACTTAGCCACTTGTGAGGCTCAGGCCGCCCTCTTCCCTGCTGCCCTGTGACGAAGGTTGTAACAGGCTAGAGAGGCTGTGGCCTTGGAGAGATGTGATGCCCCTACAGGTTCAACTCCTGACCTTGCCTTCATGTGCAGCATGTTCTCATAACTGGACGAATCGACTAACCTTATCCAATGTTTACAACTCACCAAGGCACAACAGTGCTAGAGAGATCCACTCCCCCCAGAACCTCACAAGTGGCAGTTCCCCAAAAAGATCAGAGAGGGCCAACCAAATGGATGGGGCAAGCCTTCTGGCCTTAGAGGTGTCTGGAGTAAAGAGTCATGTCCCCTCCTTAGCCCCATGATGGAGCTAACAAGAAATGCAATGGAGAAGCCCAGAGGCACCCAAAGAAGAGCAACCGCCAGCCTCCTGGGATGGTCTCCAAGGGGGCCCCTACCCTGTTCCTAGAGACCCCAGCAGCCCAGGTCTTCTTGCTCTGTGCAGCTCCTGCCTCAGCCATCTGAGCCTCTGTCACATGTCATCTTCTTGCTCAACCTTCTGGTTGAGAGGTGTGGCCCCCAGACCTACTCCCTCAGCCTGGGAGGACTCTTGGTAATAGAAACAGCTGGGGACAGATGGTCCCACCGCCATGTCCTGGGAGTTCACCTTGCTATGGATCCATCCCACCCAGGTCTATAACAGGGCCCTGAACAAGTGGAAGTGGGGAGCTCAGGTGCCTGAAATCTATTCCTTCCACAAACTGTAATTTTTTTTTTTTTGAGATAGAGTCTCATTCCATCAGCCAGGCTGGAGTGCAGTGGCACAATCTCTGCTCACTGTAACCTCCACCTTCCGGGAGTGATTCTCCTGCCTCAGCCTCCCCAGTAGCTGGGATTACAGCCTTCTACCATCACGCCCAGCTAATTTTTGTATTTTTAGTAGAGACAGGGTTTCACCATGTTGGCCAGGCTGGTCTCAAACTCCTGACCTCAAGTGATCCGCACACCTAGCTTCCCAAAGTACTTGGATTACAGGCATGAGCCACTGTACCCGGCCTACATTTTTTTTTTCCAAAGATGGGATTTCACTCTGTCACCTAGGCTGAGTGCCCTGGCATGATCTCAGTTCACTGCAACCTTCACTTCCCAGTCTCAAGCAATCATTCCACCTCAGCCTCCCTAGTAGCTGGGACTACAGGCATGTACCACTATACCTGGCTAAGTTTTTTGTAATGTTTGTAGAGACAGGGTTTTACCCTGTTGCCCAGGGTGGTCTCAACCTCCTGGGCTCAAGCAATCCTCCCACCTCAGCCTCCCAAAGTGCTGGGATTACAGGCATGAGCCACCAGGCCTGCCACCTTCCATAAATTATAAACCCAGTCATGTGGAGAGCACATGTGATTCCCTACCTCTTTCTGAAAGAAGCATTTAGATAAGTTT